GCAACAAACTTTTTATTTTATTTCGCGTCTCCTTGAAATCAAATTCTCGAGGAAAAGTGATTTCACCTGAATGAAAAAGTTTTATATATTACTTTGATTTGAATTATTAAGATGATATGCTTTATAAACATTTATATTCTTTTATTGGAAACTTACTGTTGTTAATGGAACTGAAATGGGCACGCATGTGTGTAACCTTGCCAGGTTTTAATGCTAACAGATCAGGTTTAACTGAATGGACCACTGGATTTGAATTTGCCGCCATTTTTTCCAAATTGACAAACTTTTGTCTTGTTTTTATAACGTGGCCATTAGTTGAGGGGCAATCAAAGGACTGTTTTCCGCCAATATTTCTGCCTACAAAAAACGGTAGATTTTGATTCTCTGCAGATTCATTAATTTCGTTATCGTCATAGGTGACGTGAAGACTCATTTCCGTACGTTTGTTTTGAATATTAAAATTTTAAAAATGACTGTAGATTTTGGGGACTTCCGTTTTTAATTTTTGTGCGAAATCCCAAATTTTTCAATAACATAAGATTTTTAGTACATTACATAGACCAGCTGAATTTTGAAGTTGTGTAGAGTCGAAAAAATATATTATGATTTCAGTAAAAACTTAATTCACAAGTAAACAAAAATGTTTCTGACATTTAACTGAAAGCTGAATACTGAGTTATATTTTTTGACAGCAAAAATTTGTTAAATCTTTTTTTATAAAAAATAAAATTTTACTACATTACCGTATTTCTCGTACTTCGATTTCTGTTTTATTATGTGGCCGTAATTCAATGGAGGCTTCGATTTAAACTCCCATAAAACTCCCATAATCCAAAGTGAAGTAATGGAAATTAGTTAGTCACATATAGAGTTTGGTGCAGTTCGACCCATCATTTGTTTCGTATTTTATACATCAGCTACTATACATTTTATACAGCTAATATTCTTACGAATTAAACTTACCGGAAAGAGAAATCAAAAACAATTTCTGCACAGCCAATGCAAAATCTCTGCGTATGTGTAGAATGGCCTAGTGTGTGTAGAAATAAAATCGCTTGAGTTGAGAAGTCCTCTTGTATTTAATGTTCTTGATATAACAAAGCTAAATACACGATATGAGTCCTTGATAAATATACGCGAGATGTCACTTGTTCGATTTTTGTTCGCTTTGCTGCGAAATATATTTACTAGACCAAGTGAAAGACCTGCTGTTGATCAGCAGGCCGATTCCACTAATGACTATTGCTAAAACTCCATTCTCTTCGATAAAATTCTTAAATAAGCAATTTTTATTTTAAGAGAATTGTCCATCGTGTGATTCTGCCAACACAATATCTTCGCTAAATTTATCCGGCGATGTCTATAATGCTGAAATTTATTGAAATGTCAAAATAAAATCAAAAATGTAAACAAATATCAGCTGTTGGAATCATAATTTAAATTTGACATTTAGGAGCAGATACTGCGTCAAAAAAGTGTTCAGCTATTTGAAATTTAAATTAAAAATAAAATTAATATAACATTGGTGCGTAGATTAATTAAATAATGGACTATTTGATAAGAAAGCGATTTTTTTTCTGCTCATATGAGAGATTCACGAAATATTTGCACATATTTAATAAGGGAAAAGTTATTAAATCGTACTTAATATATTTGATTCAACATATAGTTCTTACAGAAATATATTATTATTTTTAAATATAGATTTGGTTTAGTTTACATTCAGAATGTCGTGTAATTGCCAATCATTTCTTAACTTGATGCCGGTATGATGATCAGTACTCGATGAAGGTATAACTATTCAATCTTTATATTTTCGAGTATTCAGATAGAAGTTGTTCCCAAAATTGCTCTCACAGAGAACCGAAAAAGTTTCGTTACTAAAATTTACCAATATATGGTATTATATTGAAATATATTGAAAGCATTCCCGTCTAAATGGATCACTATACCCTAATTTTTTCCCAATAAAATATGCTTTATATGAGAAATAGAAGTAGTGAAAACCAAATTTCATAATTAAAACAAATATTTTAGCTGGCGTGTAATGTATTTCAGGTTTAAAATATTCGCGGGTTAGTACAAAATAAGACTAGGACGTGACGAGTTCCGATAAGTTCATTGTTATTAGTAAATACCACCGAGTGTTTTCGTATCTGTGTTATGTTACGACCTCTTCGTATTTATAGTATGTAGATGATTTACTTTAGGTGTAATAGTTGATACCAGAGACGTTATATCTTAGTTTTATTAGCCTTGGAATTTCTAGTCTTGATCCTAAACGGATTTGTTAAATATTTTAGTTGGCATGTGATATATTTTATGTTCAAAATATTCACGGGTTTGTACAAAATAAGACAAGGACGTGACGAGTTCCGATAAGTTCATTGTTATTAGTAAACAACATCGAGTGTTGTCGTATCTGTGTCACGACTTCTCCAGAGACTTCATATCTTAGTTTTATTAGTCTTGGGACTTCTAGTGTTGATGTTAAACGTATTTGTTAAATAAATTCGTCTTTTTCTTGACACAAACTGGGTCCTCACTGAGTTTTCTTACCCTCGCATAAACAGTTATACTGCCTTATTTCAAGATCATCCGTAGTTTCGGTTGACTCATTATCGCATGCATGTGATCGGTTTATGCACATGTCATGTGGGTTTCCTTCTAATACTGGAGTCCTAATATTGCATTCCAGATTTCGAACCAACTGTTGTACCATACCATTTCTTGGAAGGCTTTCATCAGAGTGACTGTGCAACAAACTTTTTATTTTATTTCGCGTCTCCTTGAAATCAAATTCTCGAGGAAAAGTGATTTCACCTGAATGAAAAAGTTTTATATATTACTTTGATTTGAATTATTAAGATGATATGCTTTATAAACATTTATATTCTTTTATTGGAAACTTACTGTTGTTAATGGAACTGAAATGGGCACGCATGTGTGTAACCTTGCCAGGTTTTAATGCTAACAGATCAGGTTTAACTGAATGGACCACTGGATTTGAATTTGCCGCCATTTTTTCCAAATTGACAAACTTTTGTCTTGTTTTTATAACGTGGCCATTAGTTGAGGGGCAATCAAAGGACTGTTTTCCGCCAATATTTCTGCCTACAAAAAACGGTAGATTTTGATTCTCTGCAGATTCATTAATTTCGTTATCGTCATAGGTGACGTGAAGACTCATTTCCGTACGTTTGTTTTGAATATTAAAATTTTAAAAATGACTGTAGATTTTGGGGACTTCCGTTTTTAATTTTTGTGCGAAATCCCAAATTTTTCAATAACATAAGATTTTTAGTACATTACATAGACCAGCTGAATTTTGAAGTTGTGTAGAGTCGAAAAAATATATTATGATTTCAGTAAAAACTTAATTCACAAGTAAACAAAAATGTTTCTGACATTTAACTGAAAGCTGAATACTGAGTTATATTTTTTGACAGCAAAAATTTGTTAAATCTTTTTTTATAAAAAATAAAATTTTACTACATTACCGTATTTCTCGTACTTCGATTTCTGTTTTATTATGTGGCCGTAATTCAATGGAGGCTTCGATTTAAACTCCCATAATCCAAAGTGAAGTAATGGAAATTAGTTAGTCACATATAGAGTTTGGTGCAGTTCGACCCATCATTTGTTTCGTATTTTATACATCAGCTACTATACATTTTATACAGCTAATATTCTTACGAATTAAACTTACCGGAAAGAGAAATCAAAAACAATTTCTGCACAGCCAATGCAAAATCTCTGCGTATGTGTAGAATGGCCTAGTGTGTGTAGAAATAAAATCGCTTGAGTTGAGAAGTCCTCTTGTATTTAATGTTCTTGATATAACAAAGCTAAATACACGATGTGAGTCCTTGATAAATATACGCGAGATGTCACTTGTTCGATTTTTGTTCGCTTTGCTGCGAAATATATTTACTAGACCAAGTGAAAGACCTGCTGTTGATCAGCAGGCCGATTCCACTAATGACTATTGCTAAAACTCCATTCTCTTCGATAAAATTCTTAAATAAGCGATTTTTATTTTAAGAGAATTGTCCATCGTGTGATTCTGCCAACACAATATCTTCGCTAAATTTATCCGGCGATGTGTATAATGCTGAAATTTATTGAAATGTCAAAATAAAATCAAAAATGTAAACAAATATCAGCTGTTGGAATCATAATTTAAATTTGACATTTAGGAGCAGATACTGCGTCAAAAAAGTGTTCAGCTATTTGAAATTTAAATTAAAATAAAATTAATATAACATTGGTGCGTAGATTAATTAAATAATGGACTATTTGATAAGAAAGCGATTTTTTTTCTGCTCATATGAGAGATTCACGAAATATTTGCACATATTTAATAAGGGAAAAGTTATTAAATCGTACTTAATATATTTGATTCAACATATAGTTCTTACAGAAATATATTATTATTTTTAAATATAGATTTGGTTTAGTTTACATTCAGAATGTCGTGTAATTGCCAATCATTTCTTAACTTGATGCCGGTATGATGATCAGTACTCGATGAAGGTATAACTATTCAATCTTTATATTTTCGAGTATTCAGATAGAAGTTGTTCCCAAAATTGCTCTCACAGAGAACCGAAAAAGTTTCGTTACTAAAATTTACCAATATATGGTATTATATTGAAATATATTGAAAGCATTCCCGTCTAAATGGATCGCTATACCCTAATTTTTTCCCAATAAAATATGCTTTATATGAGAAATAGAAGTAGTGAAAACCAAATTTCATAATTAAAACAAATATTTTAGCTGGCTTGTAATGTATTTCAGGTTTAAATATTCGCGGGTTGTACAAAATAAGACTAGGACGTGCGAGTTCCGATAGTTCATTGTTATTGTAAATACCACCGAGTGTTTTCGTATCTGTGTTATGTTCGACCTCTTCGTATTTATAGTATGTAGATGATTTACTTTAGGTGTAATAGTTGATACCAGAGACGTTATATCTTAGTTTAATTAGCCTTGAATTTCTAGTCTTGATCCTAAACGGATTTGTTAAATATTTTAGTTGGCATGTGATATATTTTATGTTCAAAATATTCACGGGTTTGTACAAAATAAGACAAGGACGTGACGAGTTCCGATAAGTTCATTGTTATTAGTAAACAACATCGAGTGTTGTCGTATCTGTGTCACGACTTCTCCAGAGACTTCATATCTTAGTTTTATTAGTCTTGGGACTTCTAGTGTTGATGTTAAACGTATTTGTTAAATAAATTCGTCTTTTTCTTGACACAAACTGGGTCCTCACTGAGTTTTCTTACCCTCGCATAAACAGTTATACTGCCTTATTTCAAGATCATCCGTAGTTTCGGTTGACTCATTATCGCATGCATGTGATCGGTTTATGCACATGTCATGTGGGTTTCCTTCTAATACTGGAGTCCTAATATTGCATTCCAGATTTCGAACCAACTGTTGTACCATACCATTTCTTGGAAGGCTTTCATCAGAGTGACTGTGCAACAAACTTTTTATTTTATTTCGCGTCTCCTTGAAATCAAATTCTCGAGGAAAAGTGATTTCACCTGAATGAAAAAGTTTTATATATTACTTTGATTTGAATTATTAAGATGATATGCTTTATAAACATTTATATTCTTTTATTGGAAACTTACTGTTGTTAATGGAACTGAAATGGGCACGCATGTGTGTAACCTTGCCAGGTTTTAATGCTAACAGATCAGGTTTAACTGAATGGACCACTGGATTTGAATTTGCCGCCATTTTTTCCAAATTGACAAACTTTTGTCTTGTTTTTATAACGTGGCCATTAGTTGAGGGGCAATCAAAGGATTGTTTTCCACCAAGATTTCTGCCTACAAAAAACGGTAGATTTTCATTCTCTGCAGATTCATTAATTTCGTTATCGTCATAGGTGACGTGAAGACTCATTTCCGTACGTTTGTTTTGAATATTAAAATTTTAAAATTGACTGTAGATTTTGGGGACTTCCGTTTATAATTTTTGTGCGAAATCCCAAATTTTTCAATAACATAAGATTTTTAGTACATTACATAGACCAGCTGAATTTTGAAGTTGTGTAGAGTCG